GTCAAAAAAATATTTCATGATAAACCACAAAGACAAAGCATAAAGCACTAAGATTAAATAATTAGAATAATTTGACTAGGTTCATGCCATAAAATAAAGATAAATAAGTACTAAAGCTAAATTGCCTACTTTATATCAAAAGACAAAGCGCAAATAATGGCTTAGATTTGACCTCTGTTCATGCCATAAAATAAAGATAAATAAGTACTAATGTTGATTTCTTCTACTTAATTTTCTTTTCACTACAACATATAAGACTTTTGGCGACCAATTATTTTGGTCTCTAAAACTATTATTTTAGTCTCTAAATGATTTTTGTGACAAAATTAATTTCGTCACTAAAAAAGTCACTAAAAGTGCGTCTAGAAAAATCTTTGGCGACCAATTTTTGAAAATGTCCCCAAAAATGACAATTAGTGACCAATTTTATATTGTCACAAAATGTTTGATTTTATAAGACTAAACATTTGGTCTCTAATACTTCGTCATAAAATGTCCCAATTTGGTCGCAAAAAACAAAATAATGACACTTTTAGTGAATATGATATTTGATCGCTAAAAGACATATAACTTTCTCTACAACACATTTTCGTCGCTAAAAATCAAAGTTAAATTTTGTAATCATTTAATCTCATAGCTAAAATGCACAAAATTAAATGTCATCCAATCATATTAAAAAAAAAAAATTGACATCCACATATCAAACCCACTCTATTCCCAAGCCATAATGAGTATATAGAAAGTAAATTTGACAAAAATTAAAACTAAAAGTTTCCAAATTCAGATCAAAGTAGTAACAGTTCAAATGAAGAATAGCAACAATACAATAGTTTCTTTAAAGAAAATATCTAAAAAAGCATTTTCTCAACATCAATATCAGGCTTTATATCAGACAGGCTTGACACAAGAGGCTTCAAGCTGTACTTAGGTGTGACACCCTTTGGACATCCCTGCAACCCAAAATTCAAAAAGAAGAATCAAATAATAAGAATCAACACAACATAACCTTATTAAATAATCAATAGTCATTCATAATCAAATAAGTTACAAATAATGAAAAAAATCAAAGTAGTAGTAGTAACAGTTTAAATGAAGAATAGCAATAGTTTCTTCAAAGAGAATCTCTAAAAAAACATTTTCTCAACATCAATATCAGGCTTTATATCAGACAGCCTTGGCACAAGAGGCTTCAAGCTGTACTTAGGTGTGACACCCTTTGGACATCCCTGCAATCCAAAATTCAAAAAGAAAAATCAAATAATAAGAATCAACACAACATAACCTCATTAAATAATCAATAGTCATTCATAATCAAATAAGTTACAAATAATAAAAAAACACGTTATCTCAGTGTATTTGGAGTAGTAGTGAGCTATAATAAGAATCAACACAACAAGAGAGTCACCTAGAATCAACACAATAAGGTTATCATAATCTAAGCACGTAACCAATAGGTAGCCTTCTCTATATTGCCAAATGCCAAATACATAGCCAGGGCAGCAAGGACATAATCTAGTGGCCACTTGTAACTCAAAAACCCCTTGGATGATCTAGTCCTAATCATTTACATTGTTCATTCTTAGTGCTAAAGATTCACAACACATGAGCCTTAGTCAAGTAATCATTAATAGGAAAATACTTATATTTAACATCAGAAAATTCTTACATGTCTAATTTCAGCTTCATTATGGACCCATGCTTGCCTTTTCTGACTAAAGTGTGTCTTGTGATACAAATCAACAAGTCCAAGCTCCTTTCCATCCTTGTCTCGCTGTCAAAACCTTTATAGTTATAGTTAGTATCCTATGGAGTACATACATCACCAAATAAAAGAAATAAAAAAAGTGCCATGTAGACCCTATGATTTAAAGGTCAGTTGTTTACCTCATCGTATTGCACCTTTCTAAATGCCTTTGAGCCAGCTGTATGGAGGACTTTAAGCTCAAACCGATTTTCCTTGTTTTTCTGACATTTCTCCTGCATGAAGTGTAAAAATATATTCAAAAGAAATCAAGTCCATGTACCCAAATGCTTAGTAACAGCAGCAGCTACATGCATAGTAGCAGCATCCGCCACAGCAGCAACTGTAGTATCATCAGCAGCCCAAGTGTGTGCAAGTGCATTACAAGTGTGTTCAACAATTACCTGGTACGTCTTATCAGCCCATAATTGACACAGGTATCGCCTCTTTTTCGATATCTTCATGTGGGTTTGCATGGGCTGATTCCATCATAGGGAGACTTCTAAAATGTTGGCGTATAGAAAAAACACATCAATGTCTAACATATGAATTTGATGAAAAGAATAAACAACCAACCAAAAAAGAATATAAACTAAAATATTTACAAACCTACCAGCAACACAACAATCCGTGCTAGAAGTATCCAAGTATGAAGATTGTGACAGTTTATTTATAATGCCAAAACAAATTAATGCCAAAACAAGGCCTCCTGTGTGGGATCTTATTTACAAACCTCTTTTTTTTTTACAAACCAGTTTTTACAAACAAATTAATGCCAAAACAGTTTTATTTACAAACCTCTTTTTTTTTCTTTTTTTTTTTCTTTTTTTTCCAAACAAGGCTCCTGTGTAGGATCTTGACAGTTTATTTATAATGCCAAAACAAATTAATCATTGAACTTATGATGTTTTCAAATATGGAATTGAGGTAAGGGATTCTGGAATCTTTCCCATAAGATTATTGTGGCTTAGATCCCTGATACAAAAAGCAACCACCAAAACACGAAATGCTATCTTATGTACACTGCTGAAATCATGAATCTCCCAATGAATAGTGGGTAGAATATGATGCAGTTTGGTTTGAGTTTTTTGGATTAAGTTTTTTAAAAACTGAATTTTTTGGTTTTCATGTTTTTTTGTTTTTAGTAAATATTTTTAAAATTTTAAACATTTTTTTACTTTTTTAGATGCACCTTACTTAAATGTATCTAAAAAGTAAAAAATTTGTGAAAAAATATTTTAAAAAATTAATAAATACATAAAAATACAAAATATGTACAGAATTCTCGTATTTTTTTTATATTTTTGATATTTAGTGAATTTTTAAAAGGTTTCTTTCACAAATTTTTTACTTTTTAGGTATATTTATGTTAGGTATGTCTAAAAAGTAAAAAAAATTGCTTAAAATCTTTAAAAAATTCAGAAAAAAACAAAAAAACACGAAAAATAAGAAAGTAGAATTTTCTGAAAAGAGTTTTTGAAAAACTCTAACCAAGCAGTAGGAATAGTACTCACATATGACCATTTGGGCATATGACATCATCCAATCATCTATAACAAAGCACAGATGGGATAATTAAAATGAAAACCATGCAACTTTTGTGAAAGAAGCACACCAGTGTCCACCTAACAGGTATCCTTGCTTACCAGTGTAATTAGGGGTGTGCGCGGTGCGGGTCGGTGCGGTTTGAGAGTAAAATAGAAACCGTATGGCGTGTGGCGGATTGATAAAAGTGTCACTAGAATTTGCCGTTTTCCTTATAAAAAATTGGCGGTTCGGTTGGCAAATAATGACGAATTTGCCTTGGCGATTCAGGCGGATTGGCGGTTTATTAAAAATATAATTCAAATTACAAAACTTAAATCAAAGAGTAAAAAAAAGACAAGAGATACCGTGATGTTAAGCATCTTGCGAAGCTTTCTTCTGATGCAGCAAGTGTAGCAACAACATGATAATATCAACGACTTTGCCATCAGTTCATTACAAACATCTGTGGAAGCTACAATGATCAAATACAATACATAAAATTAATATCATTCAGGGTTTACAATATATTGAAAATGTTTACTGTTGAAAAGTATTTAGATTGAAAAGTGAGCTGATGCAAGTTTGCAACATGGCTAGAAAAAAAAAAAAGATTGAAAAGTGAATTGGAATCCAATTTTATTTTGGATTACTGACATCTTGAATTCCCCTTGAGCAGTAATGTAATACTATATTCTAAGGTATAGAACAACAAGCAAACTTAAGTAAAAAAGAATTTTTAGAATCTTATAAAACATGATTTAATAGCGATACGGGTCGGTGCGGTTTGGAAGAAAAATAGAAACCGGTGGATTGATAAAAGTGTCACTAGAATTTGCCATTTTTCTTACCAAAAACCGGCGGTTCGATTGGCAAATAATAACGAATTTGCCTTGGCGGTGCGGTTTGAGCGGTTTCGACGGTTTGAGTGGTATTATGCACACCCCTAAGTGTAATCATAGGGATCGCTGGAGCATTTCTATCTGCAACACCAACATTTGTTCCAGTAGCTGAACTGGAAGCACAAAATGTACCAATTATGGGGGCCTGCATGATACATAATGCATGTTAAAAAGAGCATGTACATATCAAAGTTGCCAAGGAAAATTTGATGAGAGACTCACTTTTGCAGCACTCTTAGAAGCCATTCTAGAAGCATCAAGTGCACGACTTTCAATGGAACGCAGAAGCCTAACACCGTTAGAATTTGCAAGAATCTTGACACCATTCTCACTTGTTAAGACAGCCAACAATGTTCCTTCCTTATTAAACCGAATGCAAGGCGAAGCCTGAGAGGTTTTTTATACAAGGATTATTACTTTACACCAAGACATTTCTCCAGAAAGATGGGAAGCAAATCTAAAAGAGATACAATTTGATTATTACCGGTAATCCACCCTCTGTATCAGTAGTTGTCAAGAGGTTAACATTATCCATGTCCCAAAATTTGATTACAAACTCGTCACCAGCAGCCAGAAATCTGTCTTTTGTTGTATCAAATTGCACAACCCTAACAGACCGCTTCCCAAGACCATGATATGTCCGCTTGACAGCTCCTTCACTTTCATTCCATTCTACAATGTATGATTCTCCTTCCTTGCTAGTCCCACATGAGAACAACCTACAGAGTTTTCAACATGATCAGAAAAGATGCAAATGAAGCACAGATCCTCTTGTGAATTAACAGCCTATCCTATATATACCTTGTCCCATCAGCACTATAAGCGATTGTTGTGCAAGAATGTCCTGGGGCATCATAATCAGCTCTTGAACCCAAATTATCATACAACCATGCCTTAATCTTCCCATCAATACCCGTCAAAAAGATGAACTGATAGAGAAAAAGAAAGATCCTTAATTATAAGAAACAGATTGGAAAGGTCTAACGATCGCGTAGAACATCACTCATAAAGTGAGGATTTGAGTGTGACATTCCTCATATTTTCAGATAGATAACAGATGTTACAGAACAAATTGGAATAGCATTGTAAAATAGTTCAAACTTGCAAGAAAGTTTCTAATTCCAAAACGTTTGAAACGAAGTAATAATTCATTAATATAAAAAATGAATAAGGGTTATTCTGAATTAGAAAAAGAAAAAAGAACTGAGGAGTTCTAACTTTGAACTCTTTGGGTAGCCCTTTTTTCGGTCAAGGTCCCTTGTACGGAAAGTCACAAAGTAAGCCTTGAACAAAAAGGATACCTGAATGTTTTCCTTAGTATGTGGGCACACAGAATAAACAGGTAACTGATGACCCTCGAAAGTGTACTGCTTAGAACCAGTGGCAACATCCCAGACCTACAGACATGAGATTTTATGATTGCAGTCCACAGTTTCACCATTCCATGAAAGAAAATACCCAATAAACCCAAACCTTAATAGTCTTGTCCTCCCCACAAATTATAACGCATAGTTGTTTGTTTGGGTGACAGAAAGCAAGATCGCTAACATTACCAGTATGAGCATCAATCTGTCAAAACCATGAAGGCAACCAAAAATAATTTAATCCCAATTCAAGAAAGCATTAATCCCAATTCATTCTATCTAGACTTTTGAAAATAATTTAATTCTTAGGAGAGATGAATTAGTGCAATTGAGTATAGTAGTTTTCTTTTTTCTACTTAATTCTCCTTTGTTGTAGTATGATCAAAAAATTCTTCTCAAAAAAAAAAAAAAAACTTCTGGACTCCTTTAGAATTCATTAAAGTTGGTGACAATTGTTGAACTTGCTTTGTTTATTTTCTGCCATTGTTTTCATTAGTCAGCTTATGTATGTAACGTCATAGCATCTTTCTCCACAGTTCATTAGCAGTCACATATTATAGCAAGAATCTTCACCACCAAAATCAAAAGCACAAATCTAGTATACATATGCATGTACAACAATATATATATATATATATATATGAAATCAAGTACCTATATAGCTCTGAATGAATACAGAATTTCAAATTCAAGCAATTTGAATCAATACAGAGGAGTATATATATAGATATGTACATGTATATATGATGTGTCTGTGCAGAGAGAAAGAGATTGAAAACATACCAAATCGCTATTTACCTTCGGATTGAAGCCAAAGAACTCAGATCGATTCAAAAATGAGGTGAAGATCGATTCTGATACGAGGCGGCACACAGATCGATTCGGATTGAAGCTGAAGATCGATTGAGTCCTAGCTGAGATTGATTGAGTCCTAGCTGAGATCGATCAAAGCTGAAGATCAATTGATTGAGTCCTAACTGTTTTGAGCACAAAGATCGATTGATCGATCGAAGCTGAAGATCGATTGATTGAGTCCTAGATAGAGGAAATAGCTGAAATTGATTGAGCCCTAGCTGAGACCGATTGTAGTGAAGGAAGGAATCCAGCTTAACAATGCACATATTTGACAACTGATGGAGGGATCGATCGAGTGAAGCGCGTATTTGACGACCTTTAGCAACCAAATTAATTCGTCCCTAGCTTTTGCCAACCTCACACACGGGGTCATGTGCTCAAATCAACATAAACTTTAACTTTTTTGGTCCCTAAAAGTCTTCAAATAATTTTTTTTAGACTATCATAAAAGAATATACGGTGATTGTATAATTTTCTCTTCAAATTTATTTTGGTCTCTAAATGATGGTTTTTAGAGACTAAATTCAGTTGGTCTCTAAATATTAGTCCCTAAATTACTAATTTCTTGTAGTGGAATTGATAAAACCATGGGTAGTTTGGCAAAAGCATGGGCTGAAGATTACGCTTTTATGTGACTACACCACCAGGTATCTCTTGTTCATAAGTAAATCAGCATGTGGCCACACCACTTATTTGTTTGTCTCTTGTTTATCTTCAAGTAATAATAAAATTTAATGTATAAAATATTTTATGTTTATAGAATAAGTTGAAGTCCAGACTTTGAAGTTCACAAGGTGCTTATATAAAGGCCTTAAGAGAGAGTAAAAGGGGAGAGATTACTTAGAATATACTTAAAACTAAGAAAGACGTCTGGTTCTCAGGTCTTTTTAGAGCAAATAATACTTTAACAATCTAACAGTCTACAGACACTCATTTCCTTGTAAATCTATGTTCAATAAATAAAAAAGTTCTTTATTTCAAAAAAGAATGTGTTACTACTGATCTGTGCTAAACTTGATCTATGGAAGGAAAGGTTGAGGTTAGCTATCTCTGTAAATTGGAAGCTTGCCAACACCAGAGCCCTACGCTGACTACGTTTAGGTAACAGTCAAAATCTTTAGATACTGTTCTTATTTTGTATGCATAGTGAGCCTAAAATAAAAACATCTTAGAACTATAAATAAGTTTTTCCTTTTTATGAATTTATATCACCATTTCTATATCCAAGATCTGTTGTTAGATCGTAATCAAATACTAATATTAATCACAAACTGTCACCAACGTCATGAATTTTTACAAAATCTACTAAATACTAGTATTACTAAAGATATAGAATTTACAAGAAAAAAAAGTTGATAAAATATCTCAAGAAATCGTATATTATCAAGAACAATTAGGTTTAGTATCCCAAAAAAAAGAAAAAGAAATTTAATTTAATAAATAATTATTTTTCACGTCATTAACACATTATCAAGCCACATCATTTAAGCTAATTTGACTCACAAAAAGTTTTAACTACCAAGCAACACCCTAAAAGAAATTGATAGTGACATGTGAACATCTTTCTTTCCACATGAAACATGTGGAAGTTATGTTCACATGTAGATGTACGTGCCAAATGGGCTTAATATAGGTTTTGATTTTGCTACAAATTTAATTCTACTCACTATTATTTGGAAAATGAAAGATGATTTTCTAGTCCTAAAACTTTTAAGTTATATTTAGATGTTAAAAACAAAAATTGCATTGATAATTTAAAGGTCTAAAAGGTTATATTACAAATTTCAAACATGATTTTAAAGTGGTTCAAATTCCAAGAAACTTAGAATTAACTTAATTAATTCAATTATTGCAAGTTAATAACTGGATAAATCGAACCAAATTTTATAAATTGTATAGTTTAATTAACATTCTTACTTTTTATTTTAATGGATAACATGTTTATAACTATGTTTAAATTGGTTATGATTATGTTTTCTTTTTGGCAAAACCCTCCCTCAAAAAAATCATAGTTTATAATAAGTCTTTTCATTTTTTTTATAATAATATTTTGTAAATAAACAAATCAATTTCCCCGCGGGTCTAACTTGAACCATCTTAAAATTTTCAAGTTCAGTTACTCCAATTTTATATCTTGGCTCGTTTAAATTTAAGTTAAAAAATGGAGACTAAATTAAGATGACTCCAACTCTACCAACCCATGAGTACTTGTACATTGGTAACATTGATAATTTTATAGCTATATAAAAAATTAAAAATAAAAATCAACTAAATGAAAAAATTGGTATAATAAATCCAATTTTTACTTTTTCAAAAATTTCAAGTTCCATTACTCTGATCCTATAACTTGGCTCTTGGCTCGTTCAAATTTAAATTAAAAAATTAAGACAATTAAGATAGATTCTAACTCGACCGACCCATGAGTACTTGTAAATTCGTACCATTGATAATTTTATAGCTATATAAAAAAATCAACTAATAAAAAATATTGGTAGAATAAATCCAATTTTTACTTTTTTACTTGATGATTCCAGTCAAAAACATGTGGCTTCTATGATTGTGTGGGTGGCAATAATAATAGAGTTGTGGAAACATTCAACATAGGCATACTATTACATCGTCTGCCTCCTCTCAGTCCGTGATTAAATTCGAAGATATTGTTAAATTTATGTGGATTTATCATGGGTCTCGTTTCGATAATCTGAATTGTTGAATATGTAAAACTCGTCGAGTACTATATGATTGTGAAAAATCACATTGATTTGATATCGATAGCTATGTGATCAAATTAGATTTCTGTTAACTATTTTTTTTTCATCGTCAATTTTTTTTAATACAAAACTGATTTGATCACATATCTATCAATATCTGATCAAAGTGATTGTTTACATGCACATGTTACTCGATAAGCTCTACATATTTAACGGTTTAGATTATCAAAACGGAATCCGTGATGGACTTTCAGAGGTTTAACAACATTCTTTAATCCGATCACGAACGGGAGGTAGCCCGACCCTATTACATTTATTATAGAATTTATACTTCTTTGACTGAGTCAATAGTCAAATAGTCAAATACCCTCCAAATTAAGGCAGTTGCCCTTATATGTCTCCATTCGCCACTCTTTGAAATATCCCATATATATCGTCCTTGAAGTCAATTGCTGGTTAGGAATGGCAACTGGATGGACGGAGATGTTTACAGTACTTAACTTTTATTCTGTATTAAATTGGGATGGGATAAATTATGATAATATTAGAGGAGTGGAGGGGAGGGAATAAGGCCGGATGAGATAGAGATAGATTAATTTTATAACTTTTTAAATAATGATATTAAAAATATGAAATGATATGATATATTATAAAAAATAATTTATGAGTGATAAAAAAAACTAAAAGATGTAAGATAGAAAAATAAAGAAATAAAAATGAATATTATAATGTTTGTCTTATTATATTTTAAAAAAATTAAATTATGTCTATTTTTGTTATACATATAAATATATTTAATAAATATAATTGAGACCGAAAAGGAATAAAACAAGTTGAAAGACCAAAACTTGTCCCTACATTACTCATCCTTTACTTGCATTACTTATTGGGGATATTACATAGAAGTATAATGTCAAAAAAATAATTACATATCAGTGAAAATTTTTATCAAAATTAATAATTGAAGTTATAAGTTTTTCAATGATTTTGTAATTATTTTTCTGACAATACGATGTAGTGTAATTTTCTCTTATTAAAATTAGAAGAAATAATATGCCCGTGAAAAATGGGGCACAAATTTACAATTGGATGAAATTTTTTGTTCAACATACTAAAAACTTACATTCTCATTTTCAATCTAGTGATTGTATAGAACAATTTTGTGATATGAAGTAATGGGTTGAACTCCTATGAAGTAGGATCTGATATTTGTGATATTTATTTTTTCTCGTTATAAGAATTATATGTATTTGGTGGTAATTGTTAATTGTTGTTGGTTTACTTCCTCATATTTTTAATTATTCTCGTACTTATTAATAAATAAATTAAAATATATTATGAATAATTTTAATCTTCTATGTGAAATTATATGTCAATAATTTTCCTTATATTCAACAATTGGGTTCTCAATAATTACACATTACCACAAACAATCCGTACAAGTAATTTAGCCATTGAGCTGGATTTGGGCTTGGTCCCACCTTCCCACACTTCTTCGTGATTTGTTGATAGTATTATTTATGGGTTGTTTTGGGAAGATGGTAAAAAGTAATTTTTTGGCTTTTAACTAAGTTTTTGGTTTTTTTAGACAAATGATTTGGGAAGTTGGTAAAAAGTGACTTTTGATTTTTTTGATTAATA